AGTGAATGACTTCAGGGGGGGAATAGTGTAAGAGCAGGTCCGAGGTGCCCAACCTTGGATGGACGACAGTAATTCCTTTACAACCAGAGTAAAGGGTAAATCCAGAGGTTCCCGCTCGAACAGCTACACAGCTGTTACGATGGACATCCTTGCATCTAAATATGTCTCAATCTCCCGGTCCTGAAATAACTGCTTTGAGATACACATCAAATCCCAAATATCTTGCTTGGCTCAGTCTCTCGGTCCTGAAATAACTGCCTGGAGATACACATCGGATCCCGGATATTTTGTTGGGCATCTTGTTTGGCATGCCGCGTGGATTCTCCATCGGAACATATAAATACCCCTTAAGGGCCCCGCCAAAAGGTAATTGGAACCAACCCTAAGCTTCCTGTTTCTCCACTCTAAAGGTAGCCCCGATTATTGCTGACTTAAGCATCGGAGTGTCTACCTCGAGGATCCACCTCGGGGCTTTGCAGGTCAATTCATAGTGCAGATACGGACTAAAAGAAGGACTTCTGGTTTGGTGCAGTTACAGATGGAAGGATTGGAAATATGGTTAACAAGCTGTTGACGTTGGAAAAAAATGAAATGGAGTCGTCGTGCTTGGAGCAAATGGATAATAGATGAACAGCAAGCAAGGAGGCATAATCTCTCCCATTTGAAATGGATAAGATATAATTTATGTGTTAATGTGAAAGTAGATAATAATATGTCAACGTGAAAATGTATCACAACTTACCTTGGGATGTTGCTTCTGATATTATCATTTGGTTTATTTGGCTAGGAAGAGATCAAGTAGTTGTTAAAAATGATCATAACTGACTAAGTACTAGATAGAATGTGTTGATGAATCAATTACCAGAGGCAACTTTTCTTTTAACAAAATTATTTAGGAAGTCACAAGCTACAATAGTTAGTGGTAAGGAAATAACATCCAACATGTACCTTTGAGATTAAAATAAATAGTTCTTCACTAAGATCCCAAAATCTTTTAGTAATAGTAGGTATTTGTAAAAACTCAAAGGGAAAATGTGTCTTTGGTTTCAATATGTAATTGGGCACAACTCCTGCAGTACGGGCAGAAATTTATGCTATTTTCAAAGCATTAGAATTGGCATGACAAAAAAATTGTAGCAATGCTATAGTAGATTTTGATTTCTTCTTGGAATAGATTTTGATTTCTTCTTGGAAGTGCAAAAGATCAACAATGGTGCAACTTGCTTGACCTGTACGAAAACTTAATTAGTAGGTTTCAAACTCTTCTCTAGAAAAGTTAGCATTGTGAGCTTCCACATATATTTCATGAAGCTAATATATTTGTAGATACTATGGCCTCAAAAGCCTTACCATTTAGAATGGGTCAGCATTATTTTGATGACCCACTAATAAAAATTATGTAAAAAATGACATAAGACATTCTAGGTGTTTGGAATAGGAGGCCTCCTTCACCTAGATTATTCCATGCACAAGTGCACTGCCTCTATGTCCCAAAAAAAAGATCAAACTGGTTTGGTGTTGTTTTTTAATGGATTGAAAGTTTGAGGGCCAAATTCCGGATTAAAATCTATATGAAATTAATATTGCGAGAAAAACGAGGGTTCAGGCCGTTTGGCTTATTTGCTTTTTACTCCCTTCTCCTCGCACCGGCTGTTCAACAAATCAATCTTGATTTTCCCCAAGTCGCAAGTCCATCCTCGCCACTCGCTAGCAGCTCACCATGGACTTCGGCCGCAACCACTCCAATTCCCCCTCCCCTTCCTCATCCTCCACCTCCTCCTTCACTCCCCACCCCCCTCCTCCCACCAACGACCACGATCCCATGCACTCCTGGTGGGAATCCGTCTCCAAGCAACGCTCTCGCATCCTGTCCCTGTCCTCGCTCCTCCCCTCCGATGAAATTACCCTTTCCTCGCTTGCCGACTCTGACCGCCCTGCCCTCTCCCTTCTCTCCTCCCCTTCCGCGTACGACCTCATTTCCTCCGCCCTCTCCTCCTCCTCCTCTGGTTCTGGCTCTGATCCCCTCTGCCAATGGCTCTACGACACTTTTCTTTCCTCCGATCCTCACCTCCGTCTTCTGGTTCTCTCCTTTCTTCCTCTTCTCGCCGGCATCTACCTTTCTCGCATCCACTCCTCTGATTCCTCCTCCCTCCCTTCTGTAGCTGGCTTCGAGGCCGTTCTCCTTGCTGTATACTCATCTGAGATCAAGACTCGCTCCGGTAAGCCCCTCCTTGTCCACATCCCTGACCTCTCCCAGCCCTCACTTTACCATACTCCTCGCAACAAGCCCATTTCTGACAGATCTAGACAATCCGTTGGGGTTTTGTCGCCTCCTCTAGAGCCCCAGGTGGCTGTGAAGTCCACTAAGCGCGCCATCATTGTTGGAGCGGCTCTTGATTGCTATTACAAGCAAGTTTCGCAGATGCCCGCGTGGTCTAAGATCGAATTTTGTAGGTTTGCGGCTACCTGGGCTGGTCAGGATTGCGCTTGTAGAAGCAAGTTTGATGGTCCAGATGATGACCATGATCTGAATGAAAATGGAGTAGCTTTTGAGGAGAATCAGATGTTGAGTAATGGCACATCTCATGATCATAATGGTATTGAGGATACTGTGGAAGAGATGGGCAGATTAGAGATTGGGAATGACGCAGTGGATGTTTCAGAGACTAAAGGAGTAAGAATTCCATTACCCTGGGAGCTTTTGAGGCCGGTGGTGACAATTTTGGGGCATTGTTTGTTTGGGCCTTCAAATTCCCAAGACGTCAAGGATGCGGCTTCAGTTGCCGTAAGATCCTTATACGCACGGGCTTCTCATGATTTGGCTCCACAGCCGATCTTGGCATTGCGGAGTCTTATTAGGCTGGATAAAAGTACACGTGTTGCCGCAAAGGCAGCTGCTGCAGCAAATGCGTCTTCAAATGCTAACACCCCAAGCAAGGCGAAGAAGCCAGAAATCCTTTTAGTTTCCAAGTGATTCATTGGGTTATGGTTTCCCTGTTCAGGTAACGTATGTGTATAGTTGAGCTGAGGAATTTTATTTTTTTTAGATAATTTATATGTGGAATCAGTATATTATATTTATTATGCTATACTTTTCTCAAAATGTGTATCAGCTAGTTGTTTCTTTATCTTTACTTTGTTGCCAATGCTGTCTTTCTGTCGACTTACAAATTGTACGCTACTGTTTGAGAATTGCCTTTGAATTGGAAAGAGTTCTAATTTTCTACTTTCTGTGTTTTTCCCCCAAGAAGTTGATCGAAATTGGTTGAAGCTTTTTTTTAGCTACTTTTTTGTGCTATATTTTTCTTTTGCTATTGGCTTGTATAGTTCTGTGACACCGTCTTGTAATCATTTTTAGGAGCGTAGTGTCATGCTGCATAGGATTTTGTTTCCTATTGTCTTGTGTGGTTTTTCCAGTCTTGTAATCTTTAGTTACCAATGCCTTTTTTCCTATTTCTTGAAAGAATTTATATTCTTCTACACAGGTGTACCATGAACTAAGCTATATTCTTTAGGAGAATAGCATATTTTCAATTTGGTGTTTTAGTTATCGCATGTTAGCACGTCTATTGACTTTGTAGTCATGAGCATTATTAGTTTTGGGGCTAGTGCATTGTTGGAGGATGATTTAGATTTCCTTTTGCACCATTGTATTGATCACGAAGTTGTGATGATTTATAGATATCCTCCATTATTTATTGTACAATTTGAAAGATAATTTGGGAAAGTTGAATACTCTTTTATGTTTTCCTTGTTCTCTTAGAATCTGTTTGGTTCCTAAATGGGACTCTAGAAGACATACCTATTGTGTTCATTTGGGTTTTATAGAGGAATGTCAGTCTTAGCAAATTTGGTTTTGTACCATTTTAGATTTTTGGTTCTTAGAGAGGACTTCTGATGGAATCAAGTAAGCTGGTCATTTAGGTTTTGTGAAAAGGGCTTTCAGTCTCAAGAAGTTAGTTTTCTATCATTTGCAGTCATGATTGGAAGAAGGGTTTGGGCTAAGAGGCCTGTTAGGGTTGCTTTTGAAAGATGTAGTGAAGAGGGGCTGCATCTGAAAGATTGAGGAACAAGGATTCTTCACAGCAGCAAGCATAGGGTTTTAATGATCTGTTCAGCTTATGGGAGGTCTTCTTTTATCATTCTTTTCTTTTGGCCACAGTTATTGTGGGTTATTTTGTAAGATTTTCTAAAAGGTATGTGCAGCGTTAGGATTTCAAGTTTCAAGTGTAAATGAAAGGTTTTTGATTTGGTGGTGCAGTGGAGAGAAAGTAAGATAAATGCAGAGAGAAAGTAATCTATCAAAATCAGTAGTATGAACTAGCCAATGGTTGACTTCCCTTTAATTGGCCAAAGCCTGAACCAAATGTCTCTAATAATTGTATTAAGATAGAAGTGTGGATTATAGGAGACCAGTGTATCCAATGCATGTTCAAAATCATTAGTTCCCTACTACAGGAAGTTTACAATTTAACTTGGTACTCCTAGGCTTATCTCATTATAACTTGGTGAATGAACAATAAGAAGTTTTTGATATTAATTTCAGTCTCCACTTTCTCTTCTCCTTTCTTGCAAATATGGTATCTCCGCAGCATTCTTTAGAGAGCAAGAATCTTGGATAAAGAAATTCTGCAGTGATAATATGATTATGTGACTTAGGGGCTTAATTAGATGTTATGCTCTCTTTTTTCGTATTTGGATTAATGATATTATAATTATGCCACAAGGGGTGTGAATTTGAGACTCATCTGAAGGTTTTAGGCTCAAACATTGAGACGGGTAGAGAAATTTGGGAAAGAGGACGATCTATTGTTGCATAGCCCATCAAGGATTCAAGATGTACCAAAAAAGGAAAATCATTTTGATGCTGATATATGCATATATATAGATAGATGATTTCACATTTGAGGTCTGAAATCTGGGAGGTTAGTTCAGTTTGGATTACTTGCTTATTGATAGTGGGTATTAGTTGAGTAAGAGGTTTTAATTGACCTGTCCAAAAGGAATGGTTCAATTATAGTGTTCTTTTCTCTTAACAACTAATGCATGAATCTTCACAGTTCATATGTTTGAAAAACGTTGACTAACATAGTCAACCTATTGTGCCACAGAGAATTGGACAGCAATCTACAGGGCCAGATTCAAATCCAAAAGCTAAAACAGCTATTAGGCCAAAACTTCGTTGGTAAAATTTTTCAAAATTAATCTTATTATTTACTAATTTTTTAAAATTATTATTCATACATGGTACATATACATAAAGAAATACATGAGTTCATATTTATAATAAAATACATAAGTTAAAACATAAATACAAGTTCACACATATAATACATATAAAACATATGCAAGTACATATACAAATTTATACACATAAAAAAATACACATAAATATAACTTCAGAAAGTCTTTCTTCGTTAGAATCTTCTACCCCTGCAGAAGAAAGAAAAAAAAAGCATAAACATTCTAGTCTCATAACAATATTGCAAAATTAAGCAAACAAAGGAGGATATGATCGTTATATTTGCAATATTCTAGTGTAGTTAGCAATTATAATGATATTTCTATATAATTAATAAAGTATTTTAGCTTGAAGTTTAAAAGCATACTCACACATTGTTAACTTTCACTTCAATCAAGATTTAACAAAATCTCTTTGCTTCTAAAAGGTAGAAGCAGAACCTATTTCAATAAGTAGACACAAGAAAGAAAATTACTACTAAATGGATTCATATATATAAGTATGGGTTAGGTATGCAAATAGAGCTGATATCTAATACTTGATCTGGTATTTGGTAGTTATGCATTTTTCATGCATGATATTTAACAATCTCTTTTGAACAATTCAAGTACCTACATTGTCAGAGGTATACCCATGCGCGATATTCAACCCTTTCAATTCATTGCACCAATGAGCCCAAACAGCCCAATTAACCGTCCACTATTCATGTTCTAAAGTCAGAAGCTAATTTGAGTTCAAGCCTAAACGTATAGAAACCTTTGAAAATCCCGTCAGCCACGTGACAGAAACGAATTAAATTTGTGCTTTCGATCTTTGCTACATCTCACCGCAGCAAATCCTTGCAAGGGTTAGCTTTCCTTGTACCTTTGACCAGGCAAAATCTCCCTTCTTTAATTTCTGACTGTGGCATGTGGCATGGTTAGCTTTCCATATACTTTTGATCAGGCATAATTTCCATTGCTCGATTTCTAACCGGAGCAAGTGAGATCATCACAAAAATTGTCATTTGTGATGTAAACAGGATCCAATATTTTTTTGCCCACTCGTAGCCACTAGCATGTTGTCATTCTTTAATATGCCATCATAAGCAAGGAGAGGCTAATTTTTATATTTGTCCTTTAATTGCCTAAAGCTTAGAATAAACATGCAAAGCAAATTACATTAAGTGGCCAAGTTGTTTCCATATCATTATCAAGCAAATGTGAAATCGAGAGATGCTACCGAACAAAACTTAAATTTCACTAAGGACAATATTGACAGGGTTATGGAAAAGCAAAGCAACAAGAGCATAACAAGTAAATTTATGAAATGACAAGAAGCTAACAGTCCATTCCAATTCCCAAAAGTAAGTTCTAAACTCATGAAACGAGGAATTATGTTCCACATTAGAAAAACATTGGAACAACACATTTCAGTCCCCACAAATCTTCACCGCGTAAATGTTGTAGCTTGTAGCTTTATTCATGGGAACAATTGAAAATTACTCATTACCTATCTAGGTATCCAAATAACAACCGAAAGTCCTCACAACATCAGACAATTGGGGGGCAGTTCTCACTCGTTGGCAGTCGCATCCTCTGGTTGAGCACTCCCTCCATCTACATAATGGAATAGTAAAACTAAAAGGCTGAGTTTTGAGTTCTTTCCCATTGAAATGGAGGTATTGATACGAAAAAAGAGCATTCAGCACATGCTTGCATTTATATAATCATGCATACCTTCGCCTTCTGATGGAGCATAAGGAGACTTCCGATATCGTGTCTGTTGTTGTGTGGGCTAAAGCATTGGAAGATTAGAAATAAAATGTCAAAAGCATAGCACTATGAGATGCAAGAAGTGTAAAACTACCAAATTCATGAATGAAATATAAAATAAATCATAGAAGACAAAAAAGAACAGGATAAGCATTCTAATCCAACCCTGAACCTGGAACAAAAAGCCACTAAAGCACACGTTCATGCTGCTTCTGCCATTTTTTGTCATTTCTTTTCTAGGTTAAGGAAGAAAGCAAAAATTGGCCCAAAAAAGTGGAAAAAGCAAATAAACTTATTGTCGAGTGAGAACAGTGGTTTACCACCCCTTCCATTTAAAAGTCTCACTATGAACAATCATCTCAAAAAATTCAAGCTTTGTTCCTGTATTGTTCTAACCAGTTGAGTTGCTAGGATTTGATTTTTCAAATCCTTGCAATTTCAAAACAAATTTTATCGGTCACATTTTTAGTACTCCCTCTGTTTATATTTAGATGGCTCACGTTGAACTTGCACAATAATAGAAAATTTTAACACAGTGATTAATGCTTGAATCATATTTGTCCTTAACCAAAACCCTCTTCCCTTTATTATTACTCTCTCTGTCTCAAATTATTTGTCATCATAACTAACTTGTTTCGTAGTTTCATTTGATCAGAAATTATTTTCAATTAACATTCATATGATATATAAAAGCATTACCTAAAATTATATACAAGTTAGATATATGACAAATAATTTGAGACGGAGGGAATAGATAACAATATAATTGGGCTAAATTTGGAATGAAAGTGTTTTAAGGTCTTTTTCTTGTATAAATAGAGAGTGGGACAACTAAATAAATACACTACTATTTAGTAAGGAGGAAAACAAAATAAAAACAGAGTAACACATATGGTACATCAACCTCTCAAAAAATTTAGTAAGTTTTTAAAATTAAATTATCGGCCAGATCATCACATATATTCATTTTAATATCAAATTGATTTCTACAATCTTCATAAAGAAGAGAATATGAAATTGATTCTGTTGTATGCATTTAATTGCATTAGACAGACCAATACCTGCAATTTGGGCCTGAGGGCTTCGAGTGGTCCCTTTGGCTTCTCAACGCCTTGCTGTTACATCCAATGTCATAGAGAAAATAAAAAATAAACTTTATCCACCTTAACCAGGATAGTAAACTCTTTTTTTTTTTTTTTTTTTTTTTAGCAATGATATAATTACAATGCCATATATGTGGTTATAAACTTACAATTATAAAATATCATTAAATAAATAAATACATATAA